TTTATTGGTGATCCACATGTTAATGATCAGTTCAGAGACAGGAACTAAGTTGAATCAGTATACATTATTATAAACTCTCCTAGAACCTTGCATTGAGAGAATGGACCTTTTTTTTTTGGGGGGGGGGGGTGGGGGGTAAGTTGTGGGGCTTGAACTCAGGGCTTGGGCACTGTCCCCTGAGCCTCTTTGTACTCAAGACTTATGTTCTAACACTTGAACCACAGGGTCATGTCTAGTATTTGAGTGGTTAAATGGAGATAAGAGTCTCACAGGGACTTTTCTGTCCAGGCTGGCTTCAAACTGTGATCCTTAGATCTCAGCCTCCTGAGTAGCTAAGATCACAGGTGTGAGCCACCAGCATCCAGCAAGAATGGGCCTTTTGATTGGATTGGATCTGGAGGAAAAAAAGAACTCTAACTTGGAGTTGTGAAGACATTTTTATAGTCAGGGCAAGAGGCTTAGAAAGGATTATGATAAATAGAGCCCATCAGGTACCAGAAAGCCTTTATAAACAATATAGGGCTTATAGGCTATGATTACAAGCACGAGCCACAGGCACCCTGCTTATGAAGATTTGAGACTTAGAATGTTTAAGGAACACAGTAGGGTACTTTTGGCTAGGTGTTGAGAAAGCTGTTACTTAAATTCAAATGGCTGATTTTTTTTTTTTTTTGGGGGGGGGGGGGGAGGTCAGTCCTGGAGCCTGAAACTCTGGGCCTGGGCGCTGTCCCTCAGCTCTTCAGCTCAAGGCTAGCATTCTACCACTTGAGCCACAGCGCCACTTCAGGCTTTTTCCACTTATGTGGTGCTAAGGAATTGAACCCAGGGCCTCATGCATGCAAAGCAAACACTCTACCACTGAGCCACCTTCCCAGCCCCTCATTTGGCTGATTTTAAAGCTTCTCTCAAGTCCTGGCCTACAGGAAGAACTGGCTTAGAACTACAATTCAATTCCAACACATTGGGCTTAGCTAGCTAAAAACACACTGGTAAATAGGTACTGTTGGCAGCTAGAGATAGAAGAGGTAGTATATAACTCAGAAGTACCCTTAAGAACAAGGTTTAGAGTAAGAAAATGGAAGCAACAATCAAGAGTATAGAAGGACTCAGGGAAATAAGGCAGATTCAAAGTGCTGGGGGTGTAGCTGAGTGGTAGAGCCCTTTCGTAGCATAGTAATGCCCTGTGTTCAAATCCCAGCATACACATACATACATACACACATACACATACACACATCAGATTCAGATTCAAAGTATCCACTGATCTTAGCACTTTGGTTGGAAAGGGCCTAATAAATTCCAAGTCTACTGCATTCTAATGCTGATGACAGAAACTATCTGGCAATGAGCTGAAGAATAATAAACAAACATGGAGAAAATGGGTATTGATTTCTTCTAAAAACATGGCTGTGTAATGTAACTGTAACTCCTCTGTACAGTATGTTCACAAATAAAATTAAATTAAATTTAAAAAAAAACAAAACAAAACAAAAAAAAAAACATGGCTGTGTAAAAGAGGTAAATGATATCTACTGCAGGAAGCAAAGTACAAGAGAGGTGTCTGGGATTTTGTTTGCTTTTTGTGGCACTGGGGTTTGATCTTAGGACCTTACACTTGATAGGCAGGAATTCTTGAGCTGTGCCTCCAGCTCCATTTGCTTTCACATTAGGATCTTCCTGATCTTTTTCCTGATTGGCCTGGCCAAGAATCCTACTTATGTACCTTATGTAGATGGAATGACAAATGTGTACCATGGGGCTGGGAAGGTGGCTCAGTGGTAGAGCGCTTGCCTTGCATGCTCGAGGCCCTGGGTTCGATTCCTCAGTACCACATAAGCAAAAAGAAAAAAAAAAGAGTCGGAAGTGGTGCTGTGGCTCAAGTGGTAGTGTGCTAGCCTTGAGCTGAAGAGCTGAGGGACAGCGCCCAGGCCCCGAGTTCAGGCCCCACGATCGGACCCCCCCCCCCCAAAAAAAATGTGTACCATGGTTCTCAGCCTCTTTTTTGTTGTTGTTGGTGGTGGTGGTCATGGGTCTTGAACTCAGGGCCTGGGCACCATCCCTGAGCTTTTTTATTCAATGCTAGTGTTCTACCATTTTGAACCACAGCTCCACTTCTGGCTTTTTTTGCCCTTGCTGGCTTTAAACCACAATCCTCAGATCTCAGCCTCCTGTGTAGCTAGGATTACAGGTGTGAGCCATCAGGGCCTATTTTTTTTTTTTTTTGGTCCGGTTGTGGGGCCTGAACTCTGGGTCTGGGTGCTGTCCCTCAGGCTCTTCAGCTCAAGGCTAGCGCTCTACCACTTGAGCCACAGTGCCACTTCTGGCTTTTTCTGCTTATGTGGCACTGAGGAATCAAACCCAGGGCCTCATGCATCAAGGCAAGCACTCTGTCACTAAGCCACCTTCCCAACCTCGCTTTTTCTTGTACAGGAGTTTGAACTTGGGGCCTTGTGCTTGCTAAGCAGCTTTCTTTTGGGGGAGGGGGAGGGGAGGCAGTGAGTGCCAGTACTGGAGCTGGAACTCAGAGAATCATATACTCTTGGCTTAGCTTTTTTTAGTCAAGGCTGATCATCTATCACTTGAGCCACATGTCCACTTCTAGCTTTTTTTTTTTTTTGCCAGACCTGGGGCCTGAACTCAGAGCCTGTCCATGAGTTTCTTCTGCTCAAGGCTAGCATTCTACCAGTTGAGTAACAGTGCCACTTCTGGCTTTTCCTGTTTATGTGGAATTCTGGAATCAAACCCAGGACTTCATGTTTGCAAGGCAAGCACTCTACCACTAAGCCACATTCCCAGCCTTGCATCTCCACTTCTGGCTTTTTTGCTGGTTAACAGAAGTTAAGAGTCTCAGGGACTTTTCTGCTTGGGCTGGCTTTGATTAGCCATCCTCAGATCTCAGCCTGAATAGCTAGGATTACAGGCATGTGCTACCAGTGCTCAACTTAAGAAGATCTTAACACCTGAACCAAGCTGCCAGCCTTATGTTGCTATTTTTATACTCTACCATTTGTGGTTATTTTTTTTGGAGGAGGGTCCAGTCATGGGGCCTGAACTCTGGGCCTGGGCACTGTCCCTCAGCTCTTCAGCTCAGGCTAGCGCTCTACCACTTGAGCCACAGCGCCACTTCCAGCTTTTTTCTTTTTGCTTATGTGGTGCTGAGGAATCGAACCCAGGGCCTCAGGCATGCAAGGCAAGCGCACTACCACTGAGCCACCTTCCCAGCCCTTGTGGTTATTTTTGAAATAGGGTCTTGCTTTGTGCCCAGGCAGGCCTGCACTTGTATACTCCTCTCTACTTCCCAGAGTAGCTGGGATGACAAAACAAACCATCTTGTTCAGCTATTGATTGAAATGGAATCTTGAGAACTTGTCTGGCCAGGCTGGCCTTGAACTTGAACGATCAGAACTTTTTTTTTTTTTTTCCAGTCCTGGGGCTTGAACTCAGAGCCTGAGTACTGTTCATGAGTTTCTTTCGCTCAAGGCTAGCACTCTACCACAGGGCCACTTCTGGCTTTTTCTGTTATGTGGTACTGAGGAATCAAACCCAGAGCTTCATGCAAGCTATGCCAGCACTCTACCACTAAGCCACATTCCCAGTCTAAAACTTTTTATTGGTTGAGATGGACAGCTCCTGGGCTGGCCTTGAACATCCGATGATCCCTATCTAAGCCTCCAAAGTAGCTAGGATTACCGTTGTGCCCACATTAATTTTTTTTTAAACATATGAGAATGCACCAAGAAAGGATGAAAGGACTGAAAATACTGGAATATAAAAACTACCTGATGAAGCATGAAGAATGGGACAGAGCTGGAAGGGTTGGCTTTTGAAAGTGAGATTTTTCAGCGCTGGGTGTATGGCTCAAGTGGTTGAGGACTTGCCTAGCAACACCCTGAGTTCAAACGCCAGTACTGCCAAACAAAACAACAAAACGAAATAAGACATCTGATAATCCTTTGAATTCTCCTTTAAGCTGAAGGCAGAGAAAGGAAACCGGGTGGATTAGGTGCTGGAGAGAATGGGGATATAAGGGAAGGTCTCCGGTAACACTGGAAAATAGAGGAAAGAGGTTGCTGCTTAGCAAGAAATCTACCAAAGGTCTGACCACAGAAGGTACTGGAGGCAGAAACAAAAGAAACAGCTCTGGCTGGGAATGTGGCTTAGTGGTACAGTGCTTGCGTAGCATGCACGAACCCCGAGTTCGATTCCTCAGTACCACACACACACACAGAAAAAGCCGGAAGTGATGCTGCGGTTCAAGTGGTAGAGTGCTAGCCTTGAATAAATGTAGCTCAGGGACAGAGCCCAGGCCCTGAGTTCAAGCCCAGGACTAGGGGAAGGAAAGAAGGCAGGAAGGAAGGAAGGAAGGAAGGGAGGAAGGGAGGGAGGGAGGAAGGGAGGGAGGAAGGGAGGGAGGGAGGGAGGAAGGGAGGGAGGGAAAAACGGCTCTGATACAGGGTTTAAGTCCAGGCTCGCTTTTCTGTTCTGTCATTCATTGTGTGAAAAATGGGTGCCTTGTCTAAGTCTCCTCAGAGATCCACTCACGACCACGCGGTGGGGGACTCCATTCTCCCCCACTAGGTCCTCACTAAGCAGCGTACGCTCACAGGCCCAGTAGGGGGTCCAAGCCCACGGGTGCCCGACCGAGCGCCAACCACGGCGGGCAACCGTCTCCCAGCGTCTGGGGGCTGTGTCAGTCTGTGGACGGTGCCAGCGTGGCAGTTTTAAGGACATCCTTCCGGGTCCCCGGCACTGGATCGACCTTGACCCGCACCCTGGCTGGGCCTGGGCTCGGCGGCTGGGGAAGGCAAGCTCCTCGCCGGTCTGAGCCCCCACCCCGACCCCGCTCGCCCCTTGCCGGCGGGGCCTTCCTGGCACCGGCTAAGCTTCCGAGGGGTCCCAGGCCGAGGGCTGAGCCGGCTGGAGCCGGGGCGCGCGCGGGCAGGGGACGGTTAGGACAGCGAGCCGCAGGGCCGGAGGGCCCGAGGACGCGGGGACGTTACCTCCAACATGCCTCTCCTGCTGGCCCCGGCCGTGTCGATGAGCGTGTTGTCCAGGTCGAAGAAAACGGCACGCACCCGGTTTAACCCCATCGCGCCGGGCCCCTCCCCGCCCCCCCCGCCCCCGGGAAAGCAAAGAAGACGGGGGCGGAGCCGCAGCCAGACCCGAACCTCCCGCCTCAGCAGCCTCCCGCACGGCGAAAACCCGAGGGGAGGAAAAAATAATCCGTGGAACTCTCGCGAGACACGTCGATTCCTGAGCGGTGGAGAGCCGACCTCTCGCGAGATTCTGGAACTCCCCGAAGTTCGTGGGAAGAGCGTGCCTACGTCACCAGCGGAGTTGCGCGCGGGGTTGACGTTGGGGTTTACGCTCTTTGGAGCTTTGGTGTCGTGGCCCTCGGCGGGCGAGGAGTTCGTCGGACTGCGTGCTGTCTGGAGAATGGCGGCGGCTGAGAAGCTGGCTTTTCAAATGCTCCTGAACAGCGGGCTACAGAGCTCTGTTTGCTAGGGTCGGAACTCTGCCTCCTTGTGTCTGGATATCTTCACTGCAGAAGAGCAGGCGTAATACAACTGGCGCCCCACCAGTACTGTCTTAATTTCCTAGTTAGAGGGAGATAAGTGTGTGTGTGTGTGGATCCTGGGCCTTGAACTCAGGATCTGGGCACTATCCCTGAGCGCCACCTACCTATCTTCCTTCTTTCCTTCCTTCCTCCCTCCCTCCCACTATCCCTGAGCGCCACCTACCTATCTTCCTTCCTTCCTTCCCCTCTCTCCCTCCCTTTCCTTCCTTCCTCCTTTCCTTCCTTCCCTGAATCTCAAAGTCTCTGTTGGCTTCATCTTTTACCGTTTTTATTGGTTTTCTTGAAACGTTGCACCCAGATTTCGGCATCCATTTAATTGGATGTTTTTCTGCAAATAGTAAGGCACCCTCTCCCCCAGAACAGCAATAACAAGTTTTAGCTTCTGTTACTAGAGCAAGAACCTTGAAACTCGTCTTTTATGATCCCTATTGTGTAACTTAGGAAATGTTGGGTAGGTGGTTATCGGTAATCAGAAATGGTGGAAACAGGTAGATCAAGGTCGCAGGCCAAATGAGGCTTATCACTTGAGCCTGTGACTTGAGGAATCGTCCTCTCTCTCCCCTCCCCTTCTTTCTCCCTTCCTTTTTGTGCCTGTTTTGGGGCTTAAACTCTGGGCCTTGCACTTCCCTTAGGGTTTTTTGTTTGTTTTTGTCTGTTTGTGAGCTTAAACTCAGGGCCTGGGCTCCGTAGGGATTTTTCTGCCCATGCTGGTTTCAAACCGTGATCTTCAGATCTCAGCCTCCTGAGTAGCTAAGGAGTTAAATTTTATTTCAGCATGGAAAAGGTTCTGTGACAGCCCCTAAGTCCAGAATCTAGTTGGCTGCATGCCCCTTCTCACCACATGTATATAATACAGCTGAAAGCTCTATTGATGCCAGTGCAAAGAAAATGAGAAACAAAAACCACTTGATTCTCTGCAGTCCACATTTACCTTATATGGTCATATTTTTGGCAGCTTTCAGAATCTGAATAGCTGGAGGTTCAGCCATGAGTAGCTGAGAATCAGTTGCTTGATTATACTTTGTTTACATTATATGGAGGTAGATCAAAAGCCACTTTGGGACTGTCATTCAAACATGGAGACAGAGTTGTATCTGACGTAACACACTAAAAGTAATGGACAGTAAAACTTGTATCTTGGGCTGGGAAGGTTGGCACAGTGGTAGAGTGCTTGCCTCACATGCATGAGGCCCTAGGTTTGATTCCTCAGCACCACATAAGCAGAAAAAGCTGGAAGTGGCGCTGTGGCTTTAGTGGTAGAGCACTAGCCTTGAGCTGAAGAACTGAGGGACAGTGCCCAGGCCTAGAGTTCAGGCCCCACATCCTGCCAAAAAAAAACACACAAAAAAAAAACCCCTCAAACAAGTTTAATTGTATCATGAAATACTCATTATCCTTATAGTCAATTTTCTTTTTTTTTGGGGGGGGGGGGGTCTGGTCGTGGGGCCTGAACTCTGGGTCTGAGCGCTGTCCCTCAGCTCTTCAGCTCAAGGCTGGCGCTCTCCCACTTGAGCCACAGCGCCACTTCCAGCATTTTTTGCTTTTTGCTTATGTGGTGCTGAGGAATCGAACCCAGGACCTCAGGCATGCAAGGCAAGCGCTCTACCACTGAGCCAACTTCCCAGCCCCCTTATAGTCAATTTTCAAAGTAACTAAAACTTTCAACCCAGAAACATACGAGAACAGAAGAAAAAAATCTATTAAAAATTCTGTAAAAAATGACAATCAAAAGCTTTCTGCTGATACACAGCAAATCAGTTGTCATACATCATTTAGAATGAGATAAACTATCTTCAAACAGCATTTTTGAATAGGAAACCCCACTTTGAATTAAAACTCACTTTGAAATACACAAAATTAGATACAAGCCTCAAGCACAGTAACAATTTTTTTTATTATTGTTATAGAGGTGACATACAGAGGGATTACAATTACATGAGTCAGGTAATGAGTACATTTCCTTTTGGACAGTCTTTCTTCTGTTTCCTCACTCTCTCCCAGTCCCTCCCTGCCACCTCCACCCATGAGTTGTATAGTTCACTTTCATCAGCATTCTGTGAGTTACACTGCTGTAATCTTCCCCTTCAAGTTCTGTACCCTCCCCCTAGCCCTTCTGAAGATACACACTTGTATAAACCATATATAAGGAAAAGAAGACAGAATCATAAAAAAAATAAAGACAATAAACTAAAAAAAGGGGAAAAAAAGAGAGGTCACTTGTTTCTATATCTTGGAGTTCGTTTCAATATGTATATTTTATGTACTATGAGGCACTTAGGCATTGCGCCTTTGTGAGTAATTAAGTTTTACAAGTCATAAAATGCATAAGTAGATTATCTGGTAATACTTTTAGTAGGTAATTAATTTCTAGGGGCTGGGGCTGTAGCTCAGTGATAAAGTGCTTGCTTAGTAGGTATGAGATCCTGGATTCCATCACAGCACAATACACATAAGAACACAAAAGGTAACAACCCAAGAGAACTAGGCTAAAGAACAAAGGTTCATCATAATATGTTAGTGATCAACAAAGACTAGGCACAACTTCAGTTGATTAAATGTAAATCTCTATGAAAAAAGACTTTATAATCACTGATGAGGCAACTGTCTTTTTTTTCCTTTGGTAGTACTGTGGTTTGAGTTCCTGACTTCATCCTGACAAGGAAGTTGCTGTCCCACTTGAGGCACAACCCAGGGTGAAGTCTGCCATTTCTAAAAAGTAGTAAAGATACAGAGTATAAATCAGAGTACCTTTATTTTTAACATCTGAGCTATATTCCTAGCCCTATTGTGTTTTATGTTTCATTCTCGAGACACTATCTACCTAACTTGGCCCAGTTCGCCCTCAAACGTACAATCTTCCTCTTTGCCTCCCATGTACCTGAGATTACAACTACTCATTTTTGTGTTTTCTGTAATGGTCATGCATACTGCCTACTTAATTCCTGGGCTTCAGACTGTCTGCTTATTTTAGACTTACGTTTCTGTTAAAGGATGACTGACTGACTGACTGACTCTGTGTGTGTGTGTGTGTGTGTGTGTTGGTCATGGGCCTGAACTCTGGGCCTGGGCACTGTTCCTCAGCTCTTCAGCTCAAGGCTAGCGCTCTACCACTTGAGCCACAGCACCACTTCCTGCTTTTTCTGCTTATGTGGTGTTGAGGAATCGAACCTAGGGCCTCATGCATGCACGGCAAGCGCTCTACCACTGAGCCATTTTCGGAGCCAGGATGACTGGCTCTTGAGCCTCAGTTCTATTCACTAGTCACCAGATGGAATAAAGAAATCACCATTGAGATACTCCCATCCAGGCTATGAATCATAGAGCAAAGAACACAGGATTGGACAGTATAGTCTATAATATTTACAGGGAACTTGGGTAATAGGAATAGGCCCCAAATGCTGACATAAAGTTTTAAATGAATACAAGTGCTTTTGTTTTCACTATAGCATAATTATTGATGGAAGACAACTATATTGGGAGCAATTTCATATGAAAAGCATCTTGGGGTATTGATTAATTTAACCCGTTATGCTACAGGGTTCTTATTAGCATAATCTAAACCAAATTATTAATCTTAAACTGAGAGTAGGATATAATATATTAGACCATGTCTGAGCTCTGGCTCTGTGGTCCCTGGTCAGGGTATAATGACTATGATGTGACACTGGAAGAAAGTATTTCTAGGACACTAAGTTCCCACATGCTGTGATCACTGGCTGCCAATACTCCTGAGACTTGCCCCTGCTCAAAGGGGAAACCTTTTCACTCAGGAAGGTTATCCTTAACTCCCAATGATTGCCTCAATATTGCACTAATAATTGCCTCAATAGAATATAAAATATTGAACCCTGATGGGACCTGGCCTCAACTGCATTCTCTAGTGTGCTCTCTTTCCCCCCTTTCTCTCTCTCTCTCTCCTTTTGTCAGTAATGGAATTCAGGGTCTTGAATTCAAAATTCAGGACCTTCAGTTTGTTAGATAGGTGCTCTACTACTTGTGCTTTATCCCTAAGACCACATTCTTTTTTTTTAAATGCTCTGCCTCTGCCTGATTCTACTTCCCTTACCCCTCTACAGGTTTTTCCTGAGGCCACTCCTCAGTAAATCATTTATACCAGGATTCCCATTTCATACTCTAGATGAGGGTTCTGGAAATCATAAGGAAAGATGAGGACTGATTTAATCTAGAGGAAAAGAACTTGGAGGAAATAGGATTTTTAAAAAGCTGTCTTGGGCTGGGAATGTAACTTAGTGGTAGAGTGCTTGCCTAGCAAGCATGAAGCCCTGGGTTCAATTCCTAAGTACGACATACACAGAAAAAGCTGGAAGTGGAGCTGTGGCCCAAGTGGTACAGTGCCAGCCTTGAGCACAAAGAGACTCAGGGACAATGCCCAGGCCCTGAGTTCAAGTCCCACAACTGGCAAAAAATAAAAAAACAACTGTCTTGAAATATTACAAGAGTTAGCCAGGTGCCAGTGGCTCATGACTGTAATCCTTGCTACTCAAAAGGATGAGAATAAGCCAGGCGCCAGTGGCTCATGCCTGTAATCCTAG